ACAATTTATTTATTAAAGACATTTTTTATGTTTAACGTTCTTTTTATAGATACAAGTATTTAAGTAAATGCTCTGTTTATAATAAACAGTATTAAATAACATTTACCGGCCTGAATGTCCGAGAAATTTTCATAGAAAATTCATAGGACGAATATTTGTTTATTATAAACAGAGCATTTACTTAAATACTTGTATCTAAAAAAAAGAACGTTAAACATAAAACGTCTTTTAATATATATATATATATATATATATATATATATATATATATATATATATATATATATATATATATATATATATATATGTGTGTGTGAGAAAAGACAGCCATTATCCCCTGACAAGTAAAGATTTCTCGCTTCAGTAGTCGACATATTGAAAATAAGATATTCCTGCTTGAAATAGAAAATAAAAAAATTGTTGCGATATGTTTGTAAATTGATGCTTGCATTTTTGTTCCAGTAGGTAATTTCTGTTGCATAGATACAGACAAGAAAGGACTATATATGCAAATTGCACCTTGTGCAAATGCTGCGCACATTGCACAACGTTTTCATCCGCACACCTTACTCGCGCTTAAACATCTACATATGGCAATGAATGCTGGAAAATTTCGTCACAATTGGCGATCGAGATGTGTTTTCTACCAGACGAATACCATGCATAGAACACACGTCAAATAAGGAAGTTTATGGTATATGTACCACAAAATCTTTTGATTTTGTTCTGGAAAAAGTTCTAGAATTATATCTTGAGTCATTCGAAAAAATTACAGTTATAATAATAGGAGGTACGGTGAGTATTCTCTTCATCTGTGAGGATCATCTATTGCCTCAAGTATTCTCTTCATCTATGAGGATCATCTATTGCCCCAAGTATTCGCTTTGTTGTTGAGGATCATCTGTTACCTCAAGTATTCTCTTCATCTACGTTGATCATCTGTTTTCTCAAGTATACCCTTCAGCTGTGAGGACCTTTCTAATCATCACTCTACGGAGGCCGCCTCAAATATTTTGAAAACTTTTTAGCCGGCCTAAATTCACTACAGGCAGCCAATAAAGCCAAGCTTGCTAATTGTTGTTCACTGGCAAATGCTTATTACTTAAAACCGATATATACAAAATATGATCAATAATCCGTAGCCTGACACGTCCGTATTATTTACATTCGAAATAATGTCATTATACTTGTTGCTATTTTCGCAACATTTCCGCTGTTTATACTTCAGGGGTCTATCGAGCCAGGTAACTGAAAGCTTTGCTTAATCTATGGATCTAGAACGTTCTCGTTCCGCTGATCATGTCTAGGGATATATCATTTTACTCTTTTCTAGATGACAGACATGTTGTTAGAATAACAACATCAAGGAAACCGTTTAACTGAATCTAAATAATATAAATAATAACAACTCGTTCCAGAAAGACCGAGAGAAACGTCACTATAAGCTGAATTTTGATCTGAAATTTTCATCGTATAATGTTTGATCGATATGATTAATATTCATCACTGGCATTGGCTAGAAAAGTGAATATATTGGAGAGTAAATATTCGTTGTGTCAAATATACGCCTTTTTTTATTACTACGTTATTGATGTATCGAGATGACTACGTCGATAAATTTATTGGTTCTCATAATGTTGACAAAGGACATTGATATCTTCTTTAGAGTTTCCTTTCTTCATTTTCTTTTACATTTTCTTTCTTTCGCTGAAATAAACAAAATTTTCTTTCTTTGAATTCTTTGATGTTTTTCGATGGGGAACCTACCTAATGACCATCAAATGCAATGCAAATCATACAATTTTAACCTTCAGTTTTTAATTCTTTATTTGTTCTGCTTCTAGTTTTCTTCCATATCAGCCAAAATTCTTAAGGTCTGAAATCATTACTTTACAAATCTGTTTCAGAAAAGAAGACAGTATATAAATTAATTAATAACGAGTTCGAATTTTGTTTTTTCTAGACTTCGGACATATAGTTTTTCTTTTTCTAATTTCTGTTTGTCTTTATATTCTGCTCTTATGTTCTATGCCCTTGCGTTTTCCTTTACTCTTCGGGATCTTGCTTTCCTAATTATTATACATATTCTCTATATAATACGCATTATTAGATTTCTCTGTCATTAACAGTTGTCTTAATTTCGGACGACTGACGATTTGGAATTTTTAATGTGTTTCTGTTGTAAATTATTTTGCGAACATTTTCCATACACCTATATAAAATTGATCGTATATCCATATATCATTATTATCAGCTACATGACTGGATGTTGTTGTAGGATCGCTAAGCACCTGAACAGTTCCTTCTTCATATTTGGTTCATTCAGGCAAAGACCTGGCGAAGTCCATCCTTCTCCAGGTCAGACCATATCCGATGTCTTCCATCTTGAAACCTCGCCTTGGTTAAGGATACGTGCTGCTGATCTATGGCGTAACATCACGGTACAGATTGAATACATATTTACAGGGCACAGTCTAGATGGCCACAAGAAAGTTCATCCACCTCTTCATAGGTCTTTTATTTTCTAAAAATCCTACTGGGTATCTAATCGCCTTCCACATGAGAAAATCCAAGGAGCAACATCTTTCAGGGTACATTAAAAAGAATACATAGGCTCCAAAAGTCTAGCAGTATTGTTTGTTTATCTTCAAGTTACAAATTTCGTTCCTGTTTTTGTGTTTGTGAAGGAAAGATGGACTAGTTCCACGTACGTGGAGAACATTCCTTAAATCGGTCTGCTGCCGTTTATGCAACAGAAATATTTGCTGTCCAAGTAGGAGAATGTATAACGACCGTGCTAATGAACATCCTCTGCAAGATTCTTGACAACATTCCTGATGCATACAATCAACAGGCCTGTCGACTATTTATGGGATATCCCATACAAGATATGATGGAACGACGCCTGACTCATTAAATCTATCCACACCTACAGCTCTGATGATGCCGTGCTCATGTAATTTGAAATATTACAGGATAGTATTCGCTATCTGTACGGGCATATACATACAAATGCCCAATGAGGATATATGGTGTATTATTATGGTAATTTGTAATTATGTAAATGTGCGTTGTGGTGTAATGGATATCGGCTCGGTATGGGAAATCAGAGAACCGAGTTCGAATTCCAGTCGAGTTTGTCACGTTCACTTACGCGAAAATATCCTTGGGAAATGTATGAATCCATCTCTTCTCCCGTCAGCTATGAGAGTTGAATAGCAAGGCAGACTGGGTTCTATAGACTTGGTTGGCAACCAGTTTACCGCAGAAAGAAACGGCAAATCTTCTGCTTAGTCAGTCAGAGAGACAGGATCATCCAAGTATGTATCACATATGGCATCTGACTGACTATAAGTTGTTAGATCTCCTATGTTGTAATTTGTTCACATAATTTTTATATATATATATATATATATATATATATATATATATATATATATATATATATATATATATATATATATATATTTTCCATTTTTTTAACAGTTAGAACTGTGTAGCGAAAAAGAAAACATATTTTAAATCAATTAATTTATAATATTAATGCTCTGTAAATTTATATCTATAAGAACACCGGATTATATATCTTACTGTTCTCTCTCTCTCTCTCTCTCTCTCTATATATATATATATATATATATATATATATATATATATATATATATATATATGTCTGTGGATGTCGATACATATGCTCCTGGAAAATTTATTCCGATTGAGCCCTCTGGGGAGGAAGTGTGGGTTTGTAAACAGTACTCAATGTAATAATGCAAGACTCATCGGTAAATCGAATCGAGTTCTCTCAATCACTGTGTGCTTATATAAAAATAAATACGCTTAAATTCACCTTCATCGCTGCCGTGCGCCAATGGTAGAATCCTCGACTGACACCAGTTCAGTCGGGTTTCGATCCTAGCTAGAAGCAACCCGACTTCTAGCCACACTGATGAGCTGTGAAACAGTCTGTCTGTAGACGACAATATATATATATATATTTTTATTATACTAAAAACATTTTTAAATCGCAACACAGAATCTTTCATGTTTCAATACTTTGATTGTACTTCTACAGGCGATGGTAAGTAACTGGTGATTACATTTAATCACCAGTTACTTACCATCTCCTGAAGAAGTACAATGCAAGTATTGAAACGTGAACGTTTTGTGTAGCGATATAATTTTTTTTAATTATAATCGCTTATAATAAAAATATAATAATAATAATAATATATTGCTGTACTTTGTATTGAGCACTTTTTAAAAAAAAGTAAATGCCACAAACTGATTTTTACTCCATTTGTTCTTTCCCTCATTCGTATATATATATATATATATATATATATATATATATATAAAGAGAGAGAGAGAGAGAGAGAGAGAGAGAGTCACTTAGTCGTAAAATAGGTTTCTAGCTCGTAATTTCTTCATTAAGATTTCTCGTTAGACGTAATTTTCTTGTATATGCCGTATTCTTTCAGGGCATTGGCGATCATGACTCTCCACGATTTCCTGTTATTTGTAGCTCAATGTTTCCCAAGGAAACTGGATTCCAAATTCATCGAAAACGCATTTTAGACAAATGACTCAAAAATTAAGTATTTTCCATTCAATTTTTTTTTTGCGAAAAAAAAAATGACAAGAACATTTTAGTTTATTCTGGTGTAGAGCGAAATTAATTTGGCATCGATAAAAAAGGCTTGCTGACATATTTCGAGTTCAAATATGGTTGATATTAAAACACGACAGTGATTATTGATTCATTTCTCACTTGTCTCTAGTATTTAGCTTATCTCTCTCTATGTAATTAATAAAAGAATGACATTTGAGCGTATTTATTTAATAACTGCAATCCTTAATATCACAGGTCATATAACCAGTTAATTCCCCAATATTTGTCATATACTTTCAGGCTTTAACTTTCTTTTAAATTTTTTGTCATAATTTTTTCTCGTTTGTTCGTATTTGTTCCTTTTCTTCTTTACCTTTTTTTTTCATTTTAGTGACGCTTCTTTTGTACTTCGTTTTCTTCCAATGCTTTTCTTTGGTTCTTTTTACCTTTTGCCTGTTTTTCCTTTGACCAAATATTTCTTTTATTCAAAATTGATTTTTATTCTGTATATTTCTTTATTTATTTCATTTAATGTTTTATTCTTATATTCGTTCATTTCAGTTTTCTTTTATTCCTTCATTTTTTTTTAAAATTATATTTACATACTATTTTTTTTATTTTTGCTGACTTCTTTCATGTTTATTCATACTTGTCTAGTGTTCCGAATTTATGAGTCAATTCTGATTTTTTCTTTCTTTGAGACCAAATTATAACTACAATTCACTTTTTGTTCAATTTTCTTGCTTTCTTGCTCTCTTGCTTTCTTTCTTTCTTTCTTTCTTTCTTTCTTTCTTTTATGCTTTCTTTTCAGCTCATGGTCTTTTTGTCGTATCATTTGGCTCTATCTCATACTTTTTTTATTTTTATCTCTTTTTATTTTTTGTTTTTAAGTTCAATCCTTTGGGCCCTGCGTTTCTGAACAATTTCAACTCTTTTGCCTGAGCTCCTGAGTCAAATTTCACAAATAACTGGTATTTAATGTTTCACGGTAGATATAAAAATAGTTACAAGTGTTTACCCACCGTTCAACTGGTGGCTGATCATTAAGTCATTTTTTATCTTAATCCTAATCCTTTGAGCCCTGCGTTTCTGAACAGATCAACCGGTAGCTGGCCATTAACCCTTTGTGCCTTGACCACCGCTTTACCGGTGATAGAGACAAATGACGTAATGCCCAGCCACCTGTTGAACAGTGGTAGAGAAAAAAAAACTTAATGCCCAACCACCGGTTGAACGGTGAGTAAACAGTTTGAACTATTTTTATATGTCGTGAAATATTACATACAAATTATTTGCAAATTTTTACTCAGGATCTCAGGTAGAAGGGTTAAAATTGTTCAGGACCGCAGGGCTGAAAGAGTTAAATCATTTTTTTTCTATCACTGTTCAACCGGTGGCTGGGCATTACGGCATTTTCTCTCCCACCGTTAAAGCAGTGGTCAGGGCTCAAATAGTTAATTTTCCGATTTTCTTTCTTTCTTTCTTTCTTTCAGAGCGCAATTTTAATTTCTATTCTTTGACTTTCTTCGTGAGTATAATTTTCCTTTATTTTCCTTCTTTATTTTTATTACCAGTTACACTTCAGTGTATTATTCCAGTCATTTATCAACATTTCTTTTCATTTCCTTCTTTGTTTGTGCATTTTTATCTCTTTTCCTTCTTAATTCTCCTTTGTATTTTTTCTTTCTGTTTCTTTGAAACAAGTTCATTCGTTTATATTGCATTCCTCATTTTCATTTTGCTATGAATATTTTATAGCATCTGGAGATTTAGTTTAGTTTTTCTTCATTTTGTAAATGATGCGGCATCTGCATACAATTTAAGGATAACCATCATCTGTAAATAAATGACGTCACCAATTCTTGCTTATCATTTCCCAGTCGCCATTCTTCGTGTAGTTCTCTGCAAAATAATTGGGCCTCCTATTAAGTGTCGGCAACACATATGCATTCAGCAAAGCTTCTTATATATCAACATATATTTTGTCTCTTTGCTATTTCTAGATTGTTCTTTACGTTTTTATATGCGAAAATGAGGTATTTACAAGTTTAATGTTTACTCAGACACAGTACTACCAATCTTTGCACATAGCCTAGCTCCATAATCTTCTTCTATGTGACGTGTCTCTTCAGGACGTTGGTGATCAGCATTCTGCACAATTTCCTGTCATTTGCAGCTAAATTTGTCTTTTTGTTGTCTCTCCTAAAGCTTGTTCCGCCATCCATTTTCTCAAGCTCGCTATGTATGTTAAGCACTGTTTTCCTCAATCCATCTTTCTTTCAATCTGTCCTGTGATTATAGAATTTTCCAATCTGTCTTTCCTCATTATGTACTCTAGAAATTTCAACTGTTCCTTCTGATGCTATGTATAAGTGTTCTTTTTGTTCCAATTTTCTCTAAAACTTCGTCGTTGCTCACATGCTCAGTCGATAGTATTCTCAGCATCCTTCTGTAGAACCGCATCTCAGTTGCTTCAATCGCCTCCTCATTTGTGAGGAAATTGTTCAGCATTCACTGATATAATAAGGGTTTAGCACTCACAAACTTGTCCTGTTTCTTAATAAATTGAGTCTTTTTGTTATTTCTCCTAAAACCTTCTCCCCCATTCATTTAGTCAAGCTTGCTAGGTAAGTTATTCCTTGTTTTCCTCTCTCCTTCTTGCCTTCAATCCTGGGAGTATCAAATTTCTAAACTCTCTTTTCTCATTATGTGTTAACTATAAGTGTTCTTTTAGTTCCATTTTTCTCTAAAACTTCGTCGTTGCTCACATGTCCAGTTGATGGCATTCTCAGAATCTTTCTGTAGAACTATGTTTCTGCGGCTCCAAGATTTATCAGTTCAGTAATATATTCTTTGTTTCTAGCGAAGCGTTTCTGTTTTTGTTTGGTAAGCTTTTGAAAGGCATGTATCGCTATGCCAATGCATCTTCAGATTCTGGTGTCATAATTATCTGTCCCCTGTTAAAACACTTCCCAGATATTTAAATTGTGTTACTTGTTTGATTTTGGTATCTCCAATTTGCATGTTAGACTGTTCTTTTTTTCAATAATTATGCATTCTGCTTGGTTGCAATTCATAGATAGTCCTTTCTTCTTGATTTCCTTCACTAACTTCTGTAGGGGTTTCTTGTAGTTACCTTTCTGTATCTGTTATCAACACTTTGTCATATTTAGATCTTACGTTGTCAATGTTATGGTTTCTAATACTGTAATATTAACCATAAATAATGGGTGGGTCTCGTACGACCTTAGAAACGATAAGAGACAAAAAGGTTTATCTGAAGAAAGAGATCTGTATTATTTATCAATGTGAAGGTTATGGGTACCCGAATAACATTTTTCAAAATAAAGAAAAGCATGGAAGAAAAATATCAACAAAATGCGCATTGATCAAATAAACATCTCACATGACAAGACAGAATAAGTAACAAGTAAATAGTCCACACATAGTCGTATGCACATGTCTGTTTACTTAAACACATACATTCACACACATCTAAGATATTTAGATCAACATTGATTAAACTGAAGGTTGGAACCAGCTATGTAATGAATATACCTTCAGTAAGAACATTCAAGAAGACATAGACAAGGAAAGAAGGTTGGAATATACTAAATAACGAAATAACAACAGGCCATTTATTTCAAAATAGCTTTCAGAATAGTGCTGGATTATCCTTGCTGTCGGAACAACAAATATAACATTTTAATAATACACCTCAGGCCCATCTCCTCGTGTCTCTGCGAGATCATTCATTGTTTGAAGCCAGTGATCGCGTGCAACCAAACTCCACCTGTGACCGTACAGTGAATTCATCTGGGAATTGTGTTAAATTCAAGTTCATCTCATGTCTGGATTGAAAGAAGTACCGAAATGTTGGTTACCTGAAAACCAGTGGTATGTTTATACTATTTAATCTCTTTAAAACAGCTCGACCCCTTCAAGAAGTAAGAGATCATGACTCCCTACCGTTTATCTTCAGTAATATAGTCTCTACGTTATATATCTATATATTTTCATTATTGTTTTGGGGAAAAATAGTGCTATGGTTTTCATATGCTCTCCCCATGGCTTTGGTTGGGGTAACAGGCTTCCTTCGTCTAAACTGGCTTCTAAACAAGGCTATAGCACCCAGAAAATTCTTCGTTTTAATCTATAAGTTGTCTAAAACGTTGAAATAATTTTAACTGCCTCTTGTTACTTTTCATTACGAGAATTTTCATTGTCTAGCTGTTTTTTTTAATCGATCGAAACTTTTCAGCTGATATGTTTGCTGGTATTGTTACGTTTCTCCCTGATTGCTATCGATAGAATCAGAACAACACATCCAACTAAGTACATATGGTCGAAGTTGTTAAAAAGAATATTTCATGACTAGCTCAGGGCCGAAAGCTGAGAAATTCCCAACGGGTATTAAGTCAATTGGCAGGAATTCGTCGCAAATTGGCAGGAATTCGTCGTATAAGCGTAACTTCGGACTCGTAGTCGCAATAATGAAACAAAGCGAATACGATGTTGGCTAGATAACTCTCTAATTGTTAGAGTACTAATTCCTAAATCTGTTCTAATGATTTTTACTTCCTGGAACTTAATTGATAAACAAAGAGCATATTGTCTGAAAGCCTTGCCATAACCAAACTCGAAAACAAATAGAAACGTGAGTAAGAGAATACGTATAATAATGCAAATACATTATTTATATTATTCGGTCTATTGTCTTCATCTTTGTCGCCATATTTATTACAACGTTTCGGCCGTTGTACGCTCCGGCCTTCTTCATGTGGTTGGAATGTCGAACTGAACCCTTTATTTCGTTCACTGGCGTAGGCACAGTGGATAAAGGCGTTAGTTAGATCCAGGGCCAGGACCCAAAGAGCGTGAGTTTAATACCCGGCTAAGGCAGTGGAGAACTTTCAGAGGGAAATTAACAAGAGATAACTGATAACTAACATCTATTAAAAATGACACGTGGAACTAGAACAGTCTACCCCAGTGAGCAAAATAAAGAGTACAGTTCAACATTCCAACCACCTGAAGAAGGCCGAAACGTTGTAATAAATATGGCGACAAAGATGAGGACAGTAGTCCGAATAATGTAAATAATGTACATAATACCTCATCTCAGAAATATAGACAGATCATGATGCAAATAGTTTATCATCATAAGCAAAAATGAGATTAAACATACTGTTTGTGGCTGTAGTACATAGAGACAGATATAACTTTCTAATGATTGCTACTACATAAATGGATGTGTCGCATCCCATTTTTCTACAGATAAAACTTTGGCCCTGTTAGAGACATTCCCATTCCTAATTATTATATTTGAATTAGGAGTTCTGAATGCAAAAAAATGGCGCGAATTGACACCACCAACAAAATGGCCGTGTAAAAGTTTTGATAATTTTTAAATTTTCAAAACAATCACAGACAAAGTACTGTACCAAATTTTCAAAAACCACATCACTTTAGGACTTTCAACAGCAGCAACAACTAAAATCAGTCGCACATGTAACATGTAAGAAAAAATGATTACATAATCAATATACTGATGTTCAACACTAATTGAACCAAAAGGTTAGGAAGGAAACCCCCACCGATACTGAAAATTGATCCGTAACTGATCTTGAGAAAACTAATTCCTTGAAAGATTATTTTAATCTGAAGATTTTATAAATTTTAATCGAAAGTAGAACTGGATGCTCGGTCAATGAATGCCGAATGTTTCCTTATAAGGAAATGACGTATTTTAGCATTACTTTTAGAGATTAGGAGAAGAGACATTACACTTTGCTCCAAGTCTAATGAAAATGAATTTTAACTCGAGTAGAGCTTGTTGCTTGGTCAATGAAAGCCCAACGCTTTCTTATAAGAAAACGGCTAATATTACCATTAGCGTTCATGCACAAATCCCACTGTATACAAAGACAAGAATATCATAGATATAGGTAACGGTAACCAGAAGAAAGCTGTACAGTGCATTTAAGCCTTTATTAATGACGTCAATACCAAAACGGCAAAGGCCCAATAACATCCGCGCATAAGATTAGCTACCAAACTGAATGCAGGCTTTGTATAACTACCTAGGCCTTAAAACACACAGCAGTACAGCAAGACAGTTTCTCAGCCGAAGAATCTTGAAAGGTACAAGAAAGTGCTCAGGTACCCCAAGAGAAAATATTCACAGTGGACACTGTATTGAACTGTCGAAGCGAGAGGTACGTTATGCATCCAACAGGTGACAACTAATGCACATTCAAGACGGAACATTTAAATACTCTCCATGCTTTTTATAATTTCTATTAGTAGATCGATTTAGGCATTAAACTTCAAAGACTAAACTTTGCATGTTTTGTTTTCTCACCACACACACACACACACACACACACACACACACATATATATATATATATATATATATATATATATAGATAGATAGATAGATAGATAGGCGTAAGGATGTAGAAATAACCGGGTTTGTGTCAAGGTATGCGGTATGCCCACTGGGTGTGTTGGATTTCATAACCTTCACATAGGAGAATAAAGATTATCTTGTTATACCCGAGGATTGACATCAACTCATGAGATTGACAGGTTCTTCTTTCTGGGTACATAGAGAATGGGGTTGACCAAGTGCAATGTCTTCCTCCACATTAAAAATTTAAGTCACGGGCATGGCTTGATATCGTAATTAACAATTGAGTCTACAAAAATACTTTAAAAAAAAAGCTGTAAACTTTGCCTGGA